GGGGGGGGGGCACACACCTGTAGCCACTGCATGTCTTTCCCAAAGCCAAAGCATTTTTCTAGCTGTTAATTTTTGAAATGGAAGTAAAAATTTGCCCTAGCTACAGACCCAGTGATACCCAGCTGGGAGAAGGTATAGATAGGGTCAAAACCCCGGGTTGAGGCTGGTCACCAGTCTCCTTAGCCAGGGGATAGAAAGCTAAATCCTCAAATCAGGGGAGATCACCCAAAAGCCCCCCCCCCCACACACACTGAGGCTACTCTTAAGGAAAACCTCTTAACTTCTTTTGCAAAACACTAGAGGACCTGGGAAGATATAAAGTGAAGAAGAACCTAGTGGTCACTCCAGTGGGTCAGCTCAGATCCAAATGGAGACCCTCTGAGTCAATCAGCTGAGATTTTCACACAAAACTCTCTTTTACTGTCACCTAAGGTCAGTTACTGCATGGATCTGCACCTGAGTTTCCTCGTTTATACAATACAAAGGTAATGCTAAATTTTCAGGGAATTACAGAACTTACGTACAAATGCCTCACATGATGTCCAGCTCACAGCAGATGCCTAGTAAGTGTTCATTTCATTCCTTCCCAAATTGAGAAAACCAAGTCAAGTGCAGAGAGACCCCTTTCTCTCTCATGCCCAGGCAAAAGTGGACTATTTCTTATCCCAAACCAAACAGGTTTTCTTCCCCGCAAACATGTTTCTATAAGTAGAGAAGAAGGAAGACCTTAAAATGAATTACCCATCAATTAGAAACCACTCAATCTCATCAACTCTCATCAGGAAGAATAGTTACTGTGTATGTTGAATGTATACAAATAACCAGGCAAGGTCCTATGCTGGGAGAAGCCAAGTGAGACAAGATGGAGGGCCAACCTTCACGCACATCCAAATTCTTTAGACCAAATGTTCACAGGTAAATTCTCTACCTATACAATAAGGGAACCAACTAGGCATCATCACAGAGGATTTACATGTTAAAGAACAAGCTCTCCCAAGTCCTAGGGAAGGCTTGACTGCATGCTCATCCTTAACCCTCCTGAAGTAGCCAGCTGTGGAGAAGCTTCTTCCAGCCTTTTGACTCAGCTCCAAATGGGCTGAATAGGTCTGAGGAAGCTCTGTCTGCCATAGCCTAACCATGCTGTGAGTGGAGCTGTCAATCCCCTCCAGGGCCCAGAATGGAGCTAGTATAGGAGCCTAGACTTTGTTCCACCGCAGCCTAAGCCTTGTCCATCAAAGATTCCTTTATTAACCCTCCTTCCTGCAGAGCCTGTGCATTGAAACAGTGTGCCAATTAAGCTATAATTATTATGGAATATGCTATCATACTGTTTTTTTTTTAATTAACCAAATACATAACAAATATCTGATAAGAAATAAATGTTGCCAGGGATGTAGCTCAGTGGCGCCACACCTGCCTGGAAGTGCAAGGTCCAGAGTTCAATTCCTGGTACCAAAAAAAAAAAAAAGAAAGAAATTGAGTGTTTCCAGAGTACACTGATGCAGTTCCAATCAAAAGCCAGGAAATCTGCAGTTGCATGGCAGTTAAAAATAGGCCTTCAACTAAAAACACAACACAACACAACACCACACCAATAAAACATAGGGCTTCCATTATTTGGAAAAAAATGGAAAGGATCTTGTACAACTCTAAGGAGCATAAAAGCTGCAGAGCTGGGAACCATTTGCTTGATCCAAGTCCTCTATTTTTCAGTTTAAGAGTAAAAAGAGTCCCAGAGAAATGAAGGCAGATGTCAAAGGTTACTTCTAAACTGTGCAGGATTAAGAATTTTTCCACATATATGGAAAAATATACTTTCTGGGATCAAAACTGGGGTTACTGGGGATCAAACTCAGGACCTTTTGCTTGTGAGGCAGGTGTGGAACCACTAAGCTAAATCCCTGGCCCAAGAATTTTTCCTTTTAGATGTGGGTTGCTTTGAATACAAAGATACACTTGTTTTCTTCAAGAGATAACTTATAAATCAAGCTTTTCTATTGAGGAGAGGTGAAAAAAATTAAGATGTGGTATGTATATATACCAACTCCCCATGAAGAAATAATCATTATGTACTACAGACATGTAGTAATACAATTTTTAAATTTAACAAAAAAGATCATTAATGCCAAACATTAAGGGAAATTCTATAAAAAGCAAAGTCTTGTAGATGTCAGAAGTCATTCCCTAGTAAGGTGTGGTGGCACACGCCTGTGATCCCAGTACTAGAAAGACAGGCATGAGGACTACGGCAAGTTTGAGGCCAGCCTGGGCTACATGTAAGTTCAAGGCCAGCCTGAACTGCAGAGCGAGATGCTGCTTCAAAAAAGCAAAACAAAACAAAAGTCATTTCCTGGGCTGGGGATATCACTCGGTGTAGAGTGCTTGCCTAGCAAGTGTGAGGCCCTTCGTTCCAATTTCTAGCACTGGGGAAGTCACTCCCTAATTTACCTCATCTATAAGTTTCAGTTTGAGGTGTTTCCTTACTTGGGAGTGTACTTGTGATTATATCACACCCCTCCTGCCCGTGGCATGGGCAGGGAAGACTGCTGAATGTCGCCTGCCAGACAGGGGTGTAAAGGGCACAGAAATGACATTCCGCCTCTTCGGCTCCTTCTTCCTCCCTCACATGGTCACGCCTGATCATGTCCTGATGGAATCTGGTTGCGTCACCTTCTTTGCAACACAGTTCCAGAACTCCTGTGGACTTTGTATTCCTCCAGAGGCCTAAGGGTCAAGGACTTAATTTGACAGAATCTGGCAATAGCCTGTTTAGAAGCCCAGGAAGTCTATCTCCTGCGTTCTGCCAAGGAGGAAAATGAGGCCAGGTAAGGGACGGGCACTTGTTCAGAAAGGAGCCCTTGAAGATATCCCATAATAAAGGAGGGGGCTGAGGGTAGAAGCAGCTGTCTGACCAGGCAGTGACTTAGCCTGAAATCAGGGAGAGCAGATGGGCTGGGTGGTCCCTCCCCTGGAGAACAGAGCCCTGTGTACTGCTTAGTTTCAGAAATGGCTTCAGGAATGTGGCTCCTCTAGGAGGGGAGGGCAGTCTTCAAGCAAGTCAGCGAGTCAGTACCCCTTTGACTACAGCTGGGAAGACAGAACTTGGGGAATGGAGGTGAGGTTTTCAGATGTCCAGAGGGAAGAAATGACAAAAGACAGCCAGTCCAGGGTGGCCTTGGAGCCCTGGCCCCTCAAAGGTCCAGGTTAAGAGTTTATCACCTGCTGTAGCTCCAGTTCCTGAGAAGACCTATCCCCAATCTCCAAAGATTAAAAGGGACAAAATGTTCCTGATAGCTAAATACCCCCAGCCAGGGTTAAGAGTTAAAAGAAATTAGTTCTGCCCGCTGCCTCACAAGTGCAAGGTCCCAGGTTTCATCCCTGGTACAAAAAAAAAAAAAAAAAAGTTAAAAGGAATTAACAAGGACCTGAACTATTGGCTATTGCAACACTTAATAATCTTGACTCTACAAGGTAAGTCCACCTACTAAACTCAACATCAATTCCTATTGGCTCTTCAAAAAAGAATCTCTTCAGGACAGGGATTTAGCTCAGTGGCACCACAACTGGTCCAGGCAAGGTCCTGAGTACCCTGGTACCAAAAAAAAAAAAAAAAAAAGAATTTCTTCAACATGCCTGACAAACCATCTCTTTTTCTGTTCTCGGTTAGAAGAGGAAAGCAAACCTGAGACTACCCCTGGAGATGTAGATAGAGGCAGCTGAAATCCCCTAAAGGATGAGGAAAAAAACTCAGAAAAGATAGGCTAGGGAGATCTCGAATGTTACCTTTGATCAAAATGGTTGCCTCATCTGTAAAATGGGGACACATCATCTCTTTAGGCTTGAGACATTAAAGGATAAAGTGCCTAGCAGGATGCTGGGTACAGTCAGCATCCAGGACTAGTCCCCAACCCAATTCAGAGGCTTCCCACCACCTTACCAGGTCCAGTCATTCAGGGAAACCACAAGGTAATCTGCTTTTCTACCATACATCTGGCCACCTGACTCGTATCTGGGCAGTAAGATCTGGGCATGCAGTTGGGTTGGGAAGCCAGAAGAAAAAAATTAACAGGGACCTATGGTGAAGGGAAGGCAGCCCCTAGAACAAGCTTCGCCCAGAGAATAAAAACAAGCCCCACCCCAGCCAGGAATGGCTCCATTCAGAAGAGACCCAGAGGGCCAGAAACCCCCCTGGGGAGTTTCTACTGGAGGTGGGGTGGGGCAGTGAACAAAGACAGGCAGGTCTGAGGAATAAAGTTTCCACATCTTCCTCTGAGAAGCCTCACGGACGGACACACGCGCGCGCGCACACACACACACACACACACAAACACACACACACACACACACACACACACACACACACACAGGTCTGACAGGGAACTGGCCCCGTAGCTCAGGATCACTCTCAGAGCAATAGCTCTGGCCTTTCTCCAGCAACTACTCTCACCTGGGAGCTCATACGCCCTTCAAAGGTGCCTGCTATTAAGAGAAAAAATATTTACGGGGTGCCCTTCTGTGTACCAGGCTACCCACACCCAGCATTTGCCAGCTCCCATAGTTTGGCAAAACCTGCCCATCCTGCTTGTTGGGACAAATTCTTGGGAAGGCAGCACGACCGCAGGTAAGACATGCGAGAGCTGGAAGAACAGCACCCTATTTGTACTCTTCCTCCGGAAGCAGTATCACCAAGAGTAGGCCAGGTCAGTGACACCTTTTAGAGGCTCTCGCATGTGTGTCTGGGAAGGAAGGGAAGCCAGAGCTCCCAGGAGCCTTCTTCTGAGTCTATCCCACACCTCACCATTTCCAGGACATAATGAGGCGGCCTTCAGCAGGCCGGTTCTGCTTAAGTACAGCCTCTACCGGCTCTGCCTGGCAGAACCAATGGTTAAGGGATAAGTGAAATTGGAGAGGCAGATTCAGGGAGGCCTCTGCCCTGCCCACAGGATCACGGGCCAGGAGAGGAGATGGGGTGGGGACCCGGAGGCCAACTCACCGAAAGGGGTCTCTGGAGGTGAAGTAAGCTGGGATGGACAAGTAACTCCCCATCTTCTTCCCACTCCAGATAAAGAGGCTCAGCTGCAAACCCTTCTGGGAGTGCCTCAGGCGGGCTGCAGACGGCCACCATGTCAGGCCGGGAGCGGCACCTCGGGCTGGGGGCGGGCTGCCCGGCGCTCACCTCTCCCTCCGGAGCAGCAGGAGGAGGGTGAGGACTCCAGGCCACTGGCCCCCTGGCAGGTTACCACAGGGACTCATGGCTTGGGCGGCTCCTTCCTAGTTCTCGGAAGCTCCGGTGGCCCCTCGGGACTCCGGGAGAACCACCTCTACACACACAGACATTCTTGGGCAGGGGCCGTGTGTGGATAGCTAAGAAAAGAAGCGCTGCTGTCAAGTTAGCCTTCTTCAGTCCCACCCCAAAGGAGGGAGGGAGGGAGGAAGAGGAGGGGCTCCTGCAGAACCGAGGTGTGTGGTTGGAGCAGCTGTTAGGAAACAGACCTTGTAGCAAGGGGTGGAGCTGGGCTAGAGCGAGGCTGCAGGGAGGCTGCAGGCGGGCGCCGGCACAGACAATAACTAGTGCTGGCTGAGCGACCATCCCTGAGCTCAGGGCAGGGTAGCACAAGAGAGGGCCAACGTATCTGACAAATGTTCCAAGCCCAACAAGATGCCTAAAGGACAGTAATTCTGCTCAGAAGTGAAGAAAAGCACAGGGTGCCAGCTTCAGGCAGAGCCACACCCCCAGCAGAGTGGGAATCCCTGGCAGGAAAGGCAGCTCCAGGGAGCTATCCTCTGCCCTGTCCTGGCATTAGGACCTACCTCATTTACCACCTCTCTCTGCTGGTCTAGGGACAACCCCAAGAGCGGGATTACTGGTGCTGCTACTTACATACTGGGGCAGGGCTGGAAACAAAGCCCAGAGTATTAACTGATACCTAATGTGTCTCCATGTGGCAAACATTATATGCATTCTGTTATTTCTCTGAGAAATTATCCCCACTTTGTAAAGAAAGGAAGCGAGGTGCACAATTAGGCAATTCATTCAAAAAAGCTAAACAGCAGCCAGGCTGAGATTTTTTCTTTCCTTCAATTTTTCATTTTTTGTTGTGCTGGGAATGAGCTACAGGGCTTCATGCAGGCCTGGCAAGTGCTTCACCTGAGCTGCACCCCCAACCCTAAGGGTTGGATTTAAATACGGGCACTTATGACTCCAGAGTTGCAGCTTTCAGCTATCAGGCTTCATTCTACATTTTCAAGGGAAAACATTTCTTTCAAAGCCTTCTGCCCGCAGGTTGGAGCTCAGGTTACCCGTCTACTCTCTTTCATTTGCCTCAGTGGGCAGTGGTGAATGATGGGCCAATCAGGAACAGGAGCCAGCCTGAAGAGCCCCAGCTGTGAGGCTGCCCAGCTAGGCCCACCACTAAGCAGGGCCCTTATCCCGGCTGCCTGCAACACTGTGACCGGTAGAGGAGCCTGGGAACTTTCAACTTCACTGTTGGAACTGGGGCAGTGACACAGGCTCTCTCCCACCAGACAGACTTTCATCTCCATTAGAAAGAACCAAGTCATCCTGCAGTGGCTGTCATCATGAACTATGGCAGGAAAGTCTGTGACAAAGGTGGCACCTAAGTTACAAAGGTCTCTTTTCCTATTCCTCCAAATGGGCACAGGGGACGATGAGTGTAATATGAGAGACTGGGTTTGCACCCTGTCATAAGCTCCCATTTACTGAGCCCTTGGTATGATCCAGGCTGTATTAAGTGCTCTCTACCTATTATCTGTTATATTTAAACTGCCAGGGTATAGGTTAGATGTTATACCCATTTAACAGATGTGGAAACTGAGGGTTTGATGGGTTTAGTCTCTAGCCTGAAGATTTCGAACCCACTAAGTATACTGCCAGAACAAGGGTCAAGATACTTTTTTTCTGTAAAGGGCCAGAGTACAAATAGTATTAGATTCTGCAGGTCATAGAGATTATTACAGAGATACTTGATTATGCTATTAAAGTGCCAAGGCAGCCATATATAAAACAAACAAATGGATGTAGTTTATAATTCAATAAAGTTTTTATTTATGGGCACTGAAATTTGAACTTCATAAAAATGTCATGAAATAGTCTTTTGGCTTTTTCCTTCCACAAGCATTTAAGAACATAAAAATCATGGGCAGAGCCGGAGATTTAGCTCAGTGGTTCCACTGCCTCGTAAGTGCAAGGACCCAAGTTTGATCCTCATACCCCCCTCAAAAAAAATCACAGGCAGTACAAAGTCAGGCAACGATCCACAGTTTGCCTATTAGTTTATGTTCTAGAGTCAGAGCTCAACCATTGTGTTTACTGCCTCTAAAGACAAATAATGGTTGAGCCAGGGATTTAGCTCAATGGTTCTGGCACCTGCCTTGCAAGCACAAGGACCTGAGTTCAATCTCTGGTACCAATAAACAAAAAAATGAATGAATAATGGCTTTGGCCATTTGTGCAGAACTCCGCCATACCTATCTATCACCACATAAGATACCACACTTCAGCCCCAGAGGCAGCCAGGAGCAGCGAGCACTGGATGGGTGCTCACCCTGCACCAGGCAATGCAGAGGCTCACTTGCAGCACTGTGTGTATAAATGAATTTTAACAAACACTATTTGGTAATGCTCTGATATCCCCTTCTTCACAAATGAAGGAACTGAGGTAAAAGGGACGTCAAGTCACTTGCCCGAGGTTAACTAGCTGTATAACTGAGAAGTAAAGCCAGGGTTTGAACCTAGACCAGACAGTATAGACTGTGTTCTACCATGCTATATGGGAGCTCGGCCTGGGCCCAGAGCCAGACTGTCTGGGTTTGAATTTGACAATACACTACACATAAGTCCTTGGCACCAAGTCTGGAACACATTAAGAGTTGATAAATGTTAGCTGTTAATATCATTAAGACTATTGTTACAACTACTATGGGCTAGCTATGTGGCCTTTATCAAGTCCTTGCCTCTGTCTGGGACTTGGTTAGACCTCTAAAGGGCTTCCAGCTTCAACATTTTTCAGCACTACAAGGTTGTAGAGGCTCCCTGTTTTCTTTAGGTTTCAAGCTGAGTTTAAACCTCTTGAGCAGTCCTGAAGGGATCAGGATCCTAGACTGGGAGGGGGGCACACAAGCAGGGTGGGGGCAACACACAGGATACTGAAAGGGCTGTTTGGCTGGAGAGCCAGAAGCTCTCAACTATGGAGCCAAAAAATCTATTATGTTCCCCTGTAATCCGATCAGGCAAGGAGGGGGCCCAAAATTAAGCCTGGAACTAGCAAATTATCTTCTAATTGCACCCTCCGATTTCCATCTGATGAACAGAGTACAGATGGAAGAAAACGCAAGCCACAAAGAGACTGGGGCCAGGCAGCCCATGAGCATAACTCCTCCTGACACTTCACACAGCTCTGCTGTTCCAGTGGCGGCAAGCACAGTGAGTCGGTGTCTAGGAATGCGAGCAGGAGGCTGCAGGCCTTCTCCTCTCTCCCCAGTCCTCTTACAAAAGATTCAATGGGTGGGTGGATGGGTGCAGAACTGGTGAGAAGACGTCTCAGTGCTGTGAAAACTGCCTTCCCTGGGAGAGCGGCAGCTATCTCCTTGGGTCCTAAACTGACGTGCAATCCCCTCCCAGGGAGAATCCAAATGACTTCCATAAATCCAGACTTCAGGAAGAATCTTCGAAGGATTGATCACCACATGTGATAAAGCCACTGGCTGCTCATACCTAAGTGTGTGGTTCCTTAGGGTCAAATTTAAAGGACCCACATCACTCAGTGGGAGGTGAAAAGTCACACTGGAAGGCGTATCTCCCTCTCCAGTCCGTGGAAACTGATCCTGGAAGGAAAGCTGCTCTTCTAGGTCCCCAGAGCAGCTGGCAGAGAATTCAAGGGTTATGGTTGCCAGTGGCAACTGCAGGGATCCTTGGCTTGGCGGTTCTGCTCAGGAAAAATGGCAGGAGAGGTGCTAATCTCCTGCACATTTCACAAGTTGGAAACCTGGCAAGGAGCTGAGCAAACTGAGACATGGAGTTTCAAGAAGTCCGCCTGTTACAAGCTGAAAAACAAAAGCCTTCAGAGCTGGCAGTCCCAAGTAAAAACTGTAGCAAGAAGTAAGTGAATGAATGAATCACCCCAACCTCTCCTTGGAAGAAGGCTCTGGTCAAATAATCCAAAACCAAAGAAACTGTGTATGTGTGAGGCCCTCTATTGGCCAGGAGGACTCCAAACAAGGAAGGGAGATCCTGAGGACTCTGGAGCCTCTATATCAGTGATGGCGAACCTTTTGGAGACCAGGTGCCCAAACTACAACCCAAAAGCAACTTATTTGTTGCAAAGTGTCAATACTGCAATTAAACCTGAATACTGCGGTTTTAGTTGAGAAAAACCAACCCTTATCCAGTGCTCGGCTGCTGGAGCAACACGGCCCACATACCAATAGAGAGGGCTCTGTGTGCCCACTTCATCATGCATGTCATTGGTTTGCCACCACTGCTCTAAATGCTACCAGGTGATCACGGCTACCTCCTCACTGACCATCTTTCCTGCTTCTACTCCTCCCCTCTTCCAAGTGACTTTCAACACTATAGTAGCCGTCATCTTTCTAAATCAGGGGCCCCAGTAATTCCACTGCTAGAAATTTTGCCTACAGAAACATTCCTACAACTGTGCAAACACATTTTCAAATAGGGCAGCACTGCTTAATGGTAAAAGATTAGAAACAACTTATCAGTGGAGAAAGGTACTAAATACAATACATCCATACCACAGAATACTAGGCAGCTGTTAAAAATATTGAGGTAGGTTAGGTACTGATATAGAAAACATCCTGGGTAAATGTTAAGTGAAAAAACAAAACCAAACCAAACCTAAGCTTCAAAGACAGTTAATAGTATACTGTAAACCCACTGTTTATGTAGGGCTGGGGATTTAGCTCAGCAATGCCGCCTGCCCCACAAGTGCAAGGTCCCAAGTTTGATCCCCAGTACAAAAAAAGAAAGAAAGGAAAAAAAAAAGAATCTATGTGGAGCAGAGTGTGTTGGCACACATTTGTAATCCCACACTTGGGAGGCTGAAGCAGGAAGATCCCAAGTTCAAGGCCAGCCTGTGCTACACAGCAAGACCTCATCTCAAAAAAGCAAAATAAGAACTACACATGTAACACTTAGGGACTGCCTCAAAGACTGCCTCGCATAGTTATCAGTTTTTTCCCCCTTATAGTAGTGAGACAAGAAACAGAGATGGGTGGGACAACATCCATTTTATACCATATGGACACTGCTTAAATATCTTCCTGGGTTGGGTGTAGTGGCACCTGGGAGGCTGAGGCAGGACTGCCCGGAGTTTGAGGCCAGTCTGAGCCACAAAGTGAGTTCTTGGCCAGTTGGAGCTATAGAGAAAGAC